TACAACTGAAAAATAAAAAAACTGGTGCCAGGCATAGTTGCTTACGCCTATAATTCCAGCAACTTGGGAGGATGAGGCAGGAGGATTGCAAGCCAGCTGCAGCAATTGGATAAGACCCTGTCTCAAAATAAAATATAAAAAAGGTAGGAAGATATGGCCCAGGGAATAAGCACTCTGGGTTCAATCCCAAGTACCACACACACACACACACACACACAAAATACCATGGTACCTCTACCCTAAATTTCCACTTCTTAATTTTGTAAGTTAAAGCTGCTGAGAAAGTTTTAAAATTTTTGATTCTCTACTGACAGGAAGGGAAATAAAAGTTTCTAAATTAATACCAAAATATCAGTTGCTGTGTAACCTTAATTTGACCAACATTAGGAATAAACAGCAGTGTTATTATAGAAAATAAATGATATTTTTTTATTGGTGGTAAATTCTTTAAAAAGTGATTTTTTAAAAGGCAGCACAAAACTTCCTGACAGCTTTTTTGTTTAAAATAAAACTGCTGTTGTGTGACCCACACCTATAATCCAGCAGTGCAGGAGGCTAAAACAGGAGGATCAGAGAATCACAAGTTCAAGGCCAGCCTCAGCAACTCAGCAAGGTGCTCAGCAACTTAGACCCTATCTCAAATAAAAAAAAAAAGCGGAAGAGGGGTTGAGGATAGAGCTCAGTGCTAAAGTTCCAGTACCAAAAATTAAATAAATAAAATAGAAACTATGACTAAAGGAAATGGTCTTAGAATCCAATGCTCAACTGGGTTTCAAGTATAACATATTAGGTAAGTTCTTACTACAAATGGATACATTCATTCTATTCTAAATATACTGATTTCATTATGTTCATGAGATTTCCAAATACCTAGTAAAATAAAAGATTTTAGTCCTCAATGATAATTAGCATCTTCCAACACCATTACAAAATACCTATAAACACTGGAAAACATTAGTTTTCATTCCGCACAAGACAAGGCATAGTTCTTGTTGTATATCGTTCTCTCCCCCTTTTGTACTGGGAATTGACCCAAGTATGCTTGGCCACTGAACCACATCCCCAGCTCTTTTGAGAGAGTTGCTGAGGCTGGCCTCAAACTTATAGTCCTCCTGCTTCAGTCTTTTCAAGTCACTGGGATTTACAGACATGTGCCACTGAATCCAGCAGTACTTCTGTTTAGAGAGAGCCAAAGTAAAAATTCCGTCCAATCCAGATTATGGCAAAAGCTAAGATGTTTGTTTCTTAACTTGTTCTAAAATATCAGTTTTGAGCAAAACTTTCTACAGAGTGAATATGTGATACCAAATATTTGGTTCATGAACACTAAACTATCCTTACTCTTATCAAATTTAGACACTACATATCAATACCCTTCCCCCCTTTACAACAGAGACACAACAGCGACACATTATTTTATATCTTCATGGAAATGGCATGCAAATCAGTAAGATCAGGAGAGATTATTGAATATCTCCTTTATATTAAATAAGAAAATTGCCTATGTAGACTATGCTTTTCAGGGGACTTGGGGGAAATGATACTCTGGGTAAAGTCAAATTCTGTATCAGATCCAAGTTCACAGATTAATATCAACCCAATAGCCCCTCCACCCAGCAAGAAAAACATCAAGTGCTTAAACAAAAGGCAAAGAAACCTCTTCATGAGCTTTTGGTTCATTTAGACTTTACATTTAAAACATAGTTACTATGTTAACAATCTCTGCATTAGCAGTTCTTCAATCTCAATTTACAAAGATCCACTTGAAAGATTATATACATAGATCAATTTTTTAAAAAGATTTTTAGTTGTAGATGGACACAATACCTTTATTTATTTTTATGTAGTGCTAAGGATCAAACCCAGTGCCTCACACATGCTAGGCAAGCACTCTACCACTAAGCTACAACCCCAGCCCTCAATTTTGTTTTAAAAGTAAGCTCTGATAAAGTTTTATTAAAGAAAAATTCTGTATGTTTTACTTTTTACCACTCTGTTCTGGCATGCTTCTGTTATCAGAATCACCTGGATCAATGACAGTGTGCCTACTCTAGTATTTTCTGCAAGCTGTGCCCAAGTCAATATTATTGTCACTGCAGGGATAGACATCAGTCTGGGCAAGCATAACACAGTACTCTATTTCAGATTTCCTCAAAGCTGGGAAGTTGTTGGGGAAGATGATCAATTTCATTTTGCCTGGCACATACTTTTTTCCTTTTCATAACAAGTTGGAGCCTAGAGCTGATCCATTTCAGAAACTTTTTTTTTTCTTTTCCTTTGTAGCTACCATTTTTCTGCCTTTAAGGCTGGACAGCCCCCCAACCAAAAGCAGCTGCCAAGATGGCTGGGGAGTAAGAAAGGCAGATCAACTTTATGATTCTTTAACTCATCTTCCTGGACCCTTGGTATGTACATGGTGATTCTTCACTATGGGGACTTATTATCCCCTTATAGTTAAGAGAAAATATTTGAACTCTATTGTAAAGGGTTGAGGATAAAAAGACAATTTATAAAGTAAGAGATTCCAAAAACAATGTGGAGTCATTTCTTTTTGAAAGATTACACTGTTCTGTTCAAATATCCTGTATGAATGTTCATTATCATTAATCCCTAAATTTTAATACCATACATTACTGTGGGCCCAGACATTGCATTTTATATTTTCATTTAACTAGTATTGAGAGTCTATGTGCAAGGCACCATGCCAGTGATTTGGGGCATAAAAAACCAAACACCCTGTTTGAAATTTAGTATAATATATACTACATTACAATAACACAAGATAGGACATGATATTTTTCATAGAAAGTAAAAGAGAGGCTGGGTATAGTGGCACATGCCTGTAATCCCAGCAACTTGGGAGGCTGAAACAAGATCTCAAGTTCGAAGCCAGACTCAGCAATTTAATGAGACCCTGTCTCAAAAGAAAAAAAGGGCGGAGGGCTGGAGATGTGGTTCAGAGGTCAAGTGCCTCTGGGTTTAATTTCCAGTACCAAAAAAAAAAAAAGAAAGTATAAGAGAGATGACTTTCACAGGGTTGGGTTGGGTGGGAGAATGTGAAAAGACAGAGCAACCATTTTCATGCCATATTTTAAAATTAAGCCAGTTTAGTAAAGTTCTTTAGCTGTATTTTGATATTTGGCACATTAAAACCAAACAGGCTATATGCGTTTCAATAATTTACTTTGCAGCTTACTCAGATAAGTCTGCTTCACAATTTACTGGGAATGTCATACAAGAAAGTGCAAATGAATACAATTATAGTGCAGAGATTAAAAGCATGGATTTGAGACTACATTCAGGGTTCTGTGTCCTTAAAATTATTTAGTCTGAGTATTCTCCTAAAACCTGGAGATAAAACATTTCAAGTGATCATTCCACACCATTTGACTAAGTACCCACTTTTTGGGGTATGATAGGGCCAATAATCCCTTTAAGACATAATTTACTATAAAAATGCCATTTTTCTTCCTTCAAGTTGTCTATTATGCATAGACTACTGTTCTAAGCAGACCTACTAACTGGTTATCTTATCTATTCTAGGCCTCAGTTTCCTCCTCCATAAAATGACAGGGCGGGACTGGATGATCTAAATAGTCCCTTCCGGCTCTTAAAAAGTCCCATGACTCCATAATGACTCAATAAATACTATTGCAAGAGTCAGCTTTTAAGAGTGATAAGAGTTTGAAGCTAAATGAGTTTCTTTTCCATAAGTTATTTCTTGAGCAAGTTCATACAACATTTTAATTACAAAAAAGAGGTCTGCAAGATGAATTTACAAGTTAGAGGCACTCAATATATCTATATATTATAGATATATATACTATTAGCAAACAAAAATCCAACCAGACTGAATTAACTTTAAAATATTAAAGTCACAATATTCGCTTTACTGTCAACTTTCTATTCTGTAAAAATGCAATTTTCCCTTACTGTAATAGATAAGTGTTCCTATTCGTGCCAATCAGGAGTTTCAGGAGCAAAATGTTTTTCCGAACTATTAATGAGGGTGGGAGAGGGACAAGTGAAGGAGAAGCAAACCATCTGCTCAAACTTGCAAGGACGATCTTTTCTCCAAAAGGCATCGTTTTTTGTTTGTTTGTTTTCCAGAAGAAAAATCCGAAGGGCCCGGTAAATACCGGAGTAGTTTCAAATAAAATTCATGGCGCTGGTAAGTCAGTTTTAGTATCAGACAAATGGAGATGGCGAAAAAGAGAAGAGGACAAACTTCCTGGATTCTCTCTCTGCGAGAGAAAGAGATTTCCTCTTGCTGACGAAGGGAAAGGCCCCTTTAACAATTTTTCTCTGCACGGTGGCTGCTGCCAGACTAGGTGGGGCTCCCTCCGCTGCCTTCCTCCTGCCACTTCCCGCAACAAATGGAGCAAGCCAGCCCCGTTTCAGGCAAACTTTTTCCCTGTCAGGCTCGAGCCTGCAGGGCGCCGGGGAGTGGTTTCCCCCGAACGCTCCTCGCCCAGGCTCCGGGCTGGGGGAAGGTGGGTCTACGCAAAGGACAACTTTCTGGTTTCCGTTCTAACTTCCACCCACACCCGGGAGGGAACCCGGGCGGCCAGTAAGGGGGCTCCCGGGCGGGGAGTAAATCTTCGGGGAAGCCGGCGGGGGAGGCGGGCAGCGGGAGAGGCTGCGACGACCGCGGGCAGGAGAGAGCGGGCGGGAGGGGGGGGTCCTCGGGCTCTCACTTCCTCCGCCATATTTCAGACATTTGACCCCTTCCGCAAAGCGCGCCGTTCCCCCGCGGCTGTGGCGGAGGCGGCTGCGGATCCTTCTCGCTCACCCGGGAGGCAGCGCGTTGGCTGACCGAGCGCCGAGCCCTCGCGCCACCTGCCGCGCGCTGAAGGGACGCCGTGGCTGTCGCGGGGCCCCCGACCGCCCCGCCCGGCCCGCGCCGCACCCCACCCGCTCCCCTCAGCCGGCGCCGGGTCCCCGCCCCGCGCGGCCGCTGCGGCCGCTCCCCTCAGCGGCCACGCACGTACTCTGCGAACCTCTCACGCTGTCACCGGGTTCCCGTATCCAGCGTCGCCCCGCGCTCCCTCCGGGTCGCTGCTCTGGGCGCCACGGCGGTCCTGTCGCTGCCGCCGCCGCTCCGGCTGGTTTACACGCCTGACTCTGGGCGAGGTTTGGCGGTGTCGCCTTGACGTCAGGCGTTCAGCCTCGCTCTCGCTTCCGACCGCGGGCGGGGCGCGCGGGTGCGCGGCCCGGGAAGGGGCGGGACTGGGGGGGCGGGTCCATTGAACAGAGGGGCGGGGTCTCCGAGTGCGGGTTCTCGCCCTTGGCGTGGAGCCGGCCTTTGGCCCCCTGGGAAAGCAGGCCCGGCACTTGGACCCCCTTAGCGGCTGGCTCTCAGTCTTGCTGTCCCTTCAACCTCGCCTCTGCCGGAGGGCTGGTGGGTGGAATCACGCGTCAGTTTCCCCTGAGCGCACCCTTCCCGACCCCAGCGAAAGCTCAGGGCTTAGAAAACCCCCCAGACCCTAAAGGTGCCTTAAACTAAAAACCAGTTACCAACGCCTTCAAACCGTTGGTTTTCACTAAGTTCCTTGTGCTGAGGACAGTAGCTTGAGAAGTAATCGGGGCTGTACAATTTCTACGCCTAGAGCTCCCTTGAAGGAGCCTAGGCCAGGACACAATCTTTTTTCTTGAAAAGGCCTTTCTCCTGAACTGACAAATATTTCATCCACTGGTGACTTAACCGTGGTGAACTCTTAACTTGCCAAACGCAGTTAACAAATCCATGATCTCCAAACTTGTACCCTGTGCCTAAATCAACAGTGCATGTGGAAGTGCTTTGAGACGCTTTAATGACTTTACGGATTTCCCATAGGTACGCCTATAATGTGACTTCAGGACACAAGAAAACACTTTCTGTTCCAAAAATGTCTCTTTCCAAACAGCACAGGAACTTACCAAGGGAACTTAGCCATATTTAGAGAAGAGATGAAGTAACTTATTGGAGGTTTTTTTTTTTTTTTTTTTTTTTAAAGCTTTGATGGACAAAAAGATTCTGAGAATAAAATGCAGGGGAAAGTTGAAGATCATTGAAACCTAACTTTTGCTTAAGTTATGGTTTGCCTGCACATGCATGTAATCCCAGCAGCTAGAGGCTGAGGCAGGAGGATCACAAGTTTGAGGTCAGCCTCAGCAACTTAGCAAGTCCCTGTCTCAAAATTTAGAAAAATTAAAAAAGGATGAGGAATATAGCTCAGTGGTAGAGTGCTCCAGGGTTCAATCCCCAGTACTGAGAGAAAGGAAAAAAAAAGATGTATATTTCTTATCTTTGTCACTGTTGGTACCTGACTTGATGCTTTTCACACAAACAGGCATTTAAGATATATTTGTTGAATTTCTGATCCCAATGTAGTGTGTAATGTTGGAGAACATAGAGCCATCCTTTAGCTCCACTACTTGTTAGCAGGTTATTCTTTGGCAAATTCTGTAACAATGTAGAATATTAGTTTTCTCATCTAGGATGTAATATTATAACATCTGCCTTACAGAATTGTTGTAAGATAAGGTATAGAAAATAGATCTCAATCCCTGGGACAAGAAGAAGCATAAAGTTAGTTTTCTGCCTTTTAGAAAAAGTGAATTAAAAGTGAACTCACCCATAACTATTGCTGTATTTAATCTGAAATAATACTTCCGATTTTTCATGCTGTATGATTCCTTAAAATTTTTACTTCAAATAACATCTATATTTCCTTAGTTTCATTTAAAAAATACACAAAAGTACAAATAAGTATATATATATATTTTTTAAGTCCCCAATTTATTTATTTATTTAAATTTTTTTTTAGATGTTGATGGACCTTTGTTTTATTCATTTATTTATATATAGTACTCAGAATCGAACCCAGTGCCTCACACATGCTAGGCAAGAAGTTTACCACTGATCTACAACCTCAGCTCCAATTTATTATTTTTTAATAAATATGCTAATTATTATCAGCATAAGCAAAATTTATACTATTTAACTTCCAAATAAATTTGGCTGCCAATAGCATTAATATTTTGTTTCATTCACAAGTGAACAACATTGAAATTTGAGCCTTTCAAGGTACTTTTCCTGGCTTTTCCCTCTGCGATGTACGTGTGCGGGTATGTGTGTCTGTGCATGTTACATGAGTATGTGTATATGTGTATAGGGTATGATATAGAATTATGATTCTGTACCTTTGCAAAAACCTGCTGGAATTAGGGGTTGAGAAGGATAAGAAGACTGCTTTTGGTATACAAAAGGAGAAAACAACATGGCTTAAATCCCCAGCTAGTTTCATTCTGTTTTCTTGGTCAAAAATTACATTCCAAACTCTGTGTAGTTATTTCATAAATTCTACCACTTAATCACACAGGAGACCAGGTAAGAGCACACTAGAAAATTGCTATTATGGGAAAACAACTCAGAACTCACACTCTCCTAAGGGTAGTTTGTGTACCTCTAAGATTTCTGTTTTGGGGAAACTATGTACTTATAGATAAGAAAAATGAAGTAGCTTGGCATATTTTGTACTCAACGTAATAAATGTTATAGCTGCTTATTTGTCTCAAGATACATTTTGAATTCTACCTGTACTCTATTTCAGCAGTTGTGAGCTTGACCACTGAACTTGCATATTAAATAAATGTGAGGATTCTGTAATTTTGTCAGCGCTAATGTCTGTGATTTAAGGAATGGATTATAATTAAAAATTCCCCTCAAAAAACAGGAGGGAGAACTTCTTGATGTTAAATTGGGGTGAAAGGAGTGCCTAAGAGAAATGAAAGTCTCATGATGAAAGGAAATAAAGGATCCAAATATTTTTTTAAAATTCCCCTCTTAAGCCTTAGCTGAAAAAAACATAAAAATAAAAATGACATTCCCAGAGCCATCATGTAAATAAGCATTAAAAACAGGAAACCCTTGCAAAAACCAACTTCATGAAATTACCCTCATCATGAAATTTTCAAAAGCAATTTGAAGGGCTGGGTTGTAGAGTGTTTGCCATCCTGGAACTTTCTCATTAGATTGTAATTACCTTCAACACCCAGTTATCCCCAAGTCCTGTGTATGAATCATATACCTCAATAATTACCAAATTTCAAGAGATAGGTTTTAATGACCCATTATACAGATGAGAAAGTTAAAGCTTAGAAAGACTAAGTGCCCAAGGCTAGCTATATATAAATATGTGGCAGAGTTGAAATTTCTTTCTTTTAACTAGCATGAACATATTTTATTACATAAATGTAAAATGTATATAAGTAAAGTGAATATTATATCAGTTACCCAGATTTAATACCTGCTTATTACATGCCATTTTTATTTTTTTATGCTTCTATCCATTTCCTAAAATAGACCAACCCCCCTCCTTGCATATTTATTTTTTGGTGAGGTCATATGTACATGTCTTGAATTCATAGATATTAATGATACAGATTTTTTAATTGGTTTTAGTTTTTAAACACAATTCTTATTACACATATAGAACAATTTTTCATGTCTCTGTATATAAAGTATGTTCACACCAATTCATGTCTTCATACATGTACTTTGGATATTAATGTCCATCACATTCCTCTATCATTGCTAATCCCCTGCCCCCTCCCTTCTCCTCCCACCCCTCTGCCCTATCTAGAGTTTGTCAATTCCTCCCATGTGCCCTCCCCTACCCAACTATGAGTCAGTCACCTTATATCAGAGAAAACATTGGCCATTTGGTTTTTTTGGAATGGCTAACTTCACTTAGCATTATCTTCTCCAACTGCATCCATTTACCTGCAAATGCCATGATTTTATTCTTTTTTATTGCTGAGTAATATTCCATTGTGTATATATGCCACATTTTTTTAATCCATTCATCCACTGAAGGGCATTTAGGTTGGTTCCACAGTTTAGCTATTGTGAATTGTGCTGCTGTAAATATTGATGTGGCTGTGTCCCTGTAGTATGCTGTTTTTAAGTTTTTTGAGAATAGACTGAGGAGAGGGATACCTGGGTCAAATGGTGGTTCCATTCCCAGTTTTCCAAGGAATCTCCATACTGCTTTCCATATTTGCTGCACCAATTTGCAGTCCTACCAGCAATGTATGAGTGTGCCTTTTTCCTCGAATCCTCACCAACACTTATTGTTGTTTGTCTTCATAATAGTTGCTATTCTGACTGGAGTGAGATGGTATCATAGAGTAGTTCTGATTTGCATTTCCTTAATTGCTAGAGATAATGAACATTTTTTCATATATTGTTGATTGATTGAATATCCTCTTCTGAGAAGTGTCTGCTCATGTCCTTGGCCCATTTATTGATTGGGTTGTTTGTTTGTTTGTTTTTGGTGTTTAGCTTTCTGAGTTCTTTATATACTCTAGAAATTAGTGCTCCATCTGATGTGTGAGGGGTAAAAATTTGCTCCCAAGATGTAGGCTCTCTATTCACCTCAAAGATTGTTTCTTTTGCTGAGAAGAAACTTTCTAGTTTGAGTCCATCCCATTTATTGACTCTTGCTTTTAATCTTGCACTATATAAATTTCTATCTTGGTTTATCTGACTTCTTTTGACATCATGCTGCCCTCCTTCTTTATTCACACTATTCTTTTAGCCAGAAAAATTCTCTCTTCTTTTGTATTTACCTAAGTCTTTCTTCAAGACTCAATGATCTCTCCCTCTTTGAATTTCTGCAAAAATTGTTTATACCATCCATTTGGTCCTTATCATACATTGCTTAACTTGAATTACTTTTGGTTTTTCTCCATCTTCAGATCCTTGAGAACTGAAGCCACATCTTATTCTTTGTACTGATCATACCGTGAGCATTACGTATAAGAAATTAATGTTTGGGGGAGTCTTGATAATCTTGGTTAGATTCTCCATATTGATCATAGAGGATTCATGACCCATTGCAGTTATTTAATCTTTCTGAGTTTCTTTTTATTAATCTTTAAAGTGCACTAAACAATATAAGTAGGGCTTTTGAAAATTTCAAAATAGCAGGGCATAGTGGTGCATGTAATCCTGGAGACTCAGGAGGATCCAAAAGTTCAAAGCCAGTCTTAGCAACTTAGTGAGACCCTTAGCAACACAGCCAGAGAAAGCCATGTATAAAAACAGAAGTTGGGCTGGGAGTGTAGATTGGTCTTAGAGCACTTGC